TCTTGAACATAGCACGACCATAACAGACATGACGAAAGGCGCCGGTGTCTATCCACCAATCATCACTTCCACCAACCATATTGATTTCAGTGATCATAGCAATGAATTGCTTATCATTCAGGTTAACATGTGCATTAGAGCCAACGGGTTTAGGTATGCTCTTACATTTCTTAGCCATATAACTCGGTTTTCAACAATTAAAGCAAGTGAAAATCGGAGCGTCATTTCTTTGAGTTGGTGGTTGTTGTCTAGCAATCAGAGCAGATGGGCCCCTTGAGGGATTCTCATTCATAATTCGTTTCACAACATTGCGGTTCTGATTCTTTAATGGTTTTCCCGTAGGCTTCAGAATCGCATTGAATCTCTTTTTGTTGTTAGAAACAACTAAGACTTCATCCTTTTGATCTTGTCTTCTAGATTCCTCTTCAATTCGGAGGCGAATGATCAAACTCTCAATTGAAAACTCTTTTGTTTTATGTCGAAGCACATTTTTGAAATCTTTTCAACTAAGGGACAGTTTGTCAATTATCACAACAATCATTGAAGGGCATACCTTCAGTTATGATCTCATGAGCGATCTTTTGAATTCTGTGGCTTTGAGCTTCTACAGACTTTTCATCCACTATCTTATAATTTAGGTAGCAACTAATTAGAGGCATTTTGCCTCACATAGACTTCTATCCATATGTATTTAACCAAATTGAATATTAGTCTAATCAAACATATCATTCTTCATTGATTTTCCCTTACGTTACTTGTGACAAAAGTATTAAGTTGATGGTTTACATAAACAAGGTCATAAGAAAGTTATGTTGTATACCATATTATATAAGATTCAACCGAACATAAAAAAAGTCTTATTGTATAGGTTTCGACCAGACCTTTAATACCCTTAGACTTTTTGAAAATTGTAAGTTCGAGAATTGTCACTTAAATTGAACCGTGTAATCTCTAACTCTTTAACTTATTAAACTTATAAAAGATATAATCATTACCATTAATTATCCAAGATCAATCAAAACATTACTTGCATCAGCTTGAGGAACCACAATAGTTACTCGGATTTTTTCTATAACATAACTACATACGCCACTTAAAGTTGTGACTTAAAAAACTAATTTTTTAAATTATATTGATCACAATCTCCCATCACACGTATCAAAACGTAGTTATCAAATTTAAAATTCAACTAATAAAAGACAAAAACGATATTCACGTTATGCATTTTGAAAATTTTGATTAATTGTGACTTATTTTTCAAGCTTCTAGCATTTACATAGCAACTACGTTTACCGCGTGGTGTAGCATACATGGCATTGTCCAAATATAAACCACATGTATTAGTCTTTTCTAGAATCATAATTAATTATTATAATCCAAGTCCTCGTGTTAATCGAAAAAAGTCCAAATCTTCCTATTAATCGCTTATTGATGTTGATTTATACTATCATTTTATATCCAACAACTTGATTAATTAATTTACAATTCTATTCCATCTTCTAGAAACTAATCCAACCAACCATACACTCTAAAAAATCAAATGACGAAAATACCCTCTACCTATATCATTATATAATCATCAATCACATAATTGCTTAAAGCATGACATGTCATTTTTGTGTTAAACTTCTACTAGAAGCTTGTTTTATTAGAGAGAAAGTGTTGATTGATGTGCACATCCAAACAATAACCTTATACTATAAATATTAAATGTCAACCCTAACCAAACAAAAGGTAGAAGAAAATGAGGAAAATGAAGTTAGAAACTATTTTTGGTTCCGTGTGCATGAGAGCATAGTTTCTTGGATGTTATTTAAGTTCCAAAAATGACAAGACAAAAGTTTCATATTTTTCAAACTTGTGAAACATAAATGCATTAAAGTCAAGCGGTAAGGGTAGTTATGTCATTTTGCTTTAACCAACTTGTTAGACTTGGGATAACCGGTTCTCCATTGATATGTTAAACAGGTTTTTTAGATCTTTCTTTCTTGTTTCTTGTCAAACAAACAACTACTCCTCTTTTTGTTTTTTTCTAAAATGAATTCTCTTCATTTTAATTTTTCATGCAATGGCGTAGTTATGATATTTATAGTATAAAATGAATAAATTTTATAAAATTTTAAAAATATTTTTCTTAAATATAATCATCATATCTTGATCAAACCGTTAACAATATATAATTACGTAGAAGAAATTTTTTTTATGTTAATCGAATTTGATTCTCTTTTTTCATAATATTTTTTACTTTTTATATATATGATAAGATAATTAGCAAATTTTAATATTATTGTTTTTTCCCTATATTATCCTTAATTCTTAATTGTTTTATATTTTTCTTTCTAAGATAAATAATTGAAAATATTATTAACAAATTTATAGTTAATAATATATTACTTTAAAAATATAAAAAATAATTATAAATAAAAAGAAATTATACAAATTTGATATGTAAAAAAGAAATGAGGTAGTACAAATCAACTACTAACATGTTTATAAAAAATTAATAACAAATATCAACTAGTTAAAAGATTATTGATTTTTGAATAGAAAAAAATTGAATTTCTTAAACATTTGATTAGAGATTGATATTTAATCAAAGCGTATTAAAATAGCAACACTCAGGGCCGGTCCAAGGGAAGGCGACTCAAGTAAAGATTTTAGGCGTCAAAATTCTAAATTATAACAAAAATTTTAAATTTTTTTTAATTTAATCATAAATATTTTAAATGGCATATTCTTATATAAAATATCATTATTGAATTGGTAGAAGAGAGATCTTGTATCGTTTAGGTCTTTGGTTCAACTTTTGTCAAATATAAAATTTAATTTTATGCATTTATTTTGAATGTCTCATTTTAAAAATAAAAAATATATATAAAAAGGGTCATGATAATCAGTGCCCTCAGGGCACTAGTTAAGAATTTTAAATAAGGAAAATATGTTATATTTAGTTCACTCAACACACACAATATTCTTTAAAAGTTTGATTATTTCTCTTTTCAGGACATTAAATACATATATATTTAGAAAAAAAATATATATTTTCAATCTCTTAAATAATGCCCAACTTACCATTTTAATCTCTTAACCAATGTCCTGAGGACATTCGTTAGCATTTCTCATATAAAAATTACCTCTAAACGAGTTGGATCGACCCTAACAACAGTTAAAAAAAAGTTTAAATAGATCCCAATTAGTCGCTATTTTAAAGTTAAGATAATCTTAATTAGGTTAGGACAAAAAGTTACTTTATCTAATTATTATATTTAAAGAAGAAGATCATTCTCAAATAAATTGTCAAATAGTTTTACTTATTTATGGACTAATTGCTACCTCTATTTAATATTATATTTAATTATAATTTTGATTCTCCTATTTTATTTTATTTATATAATTAATATCTCTATTTCATCTTTATACAATGTTGATTTTTCTTCTTATTCTTAAATTTGACCATCTATATTTTTAAATGGATGATAAATCATTATATAAAATTTTTATAAAATTAATGATAAAAAAATATAAATTATATATCATTAAAAAATCTATGTCTTAAATTTTTAATGCAAATTTGTAAATAGTTAATCAAAAAATATTTGTGAAACGTCAAAGATAAAAAATAAAAGTTATATGATATTAAAAAATAGACACATCATCAATTTACAATTTACAGTTTAAAATGTGAGAAATTATAATTAAAAATGTTTAAATTTAAAAAAATGGACTAATTGCATGAATGAAATAAAATATGAAGATCAAAATTAATTGAATTTGAAATAAATAAAATAATTGTATGAATCAGATAAAATAAATGAGAAACAAATTTCTAATGTATCATTTTTAAGACTAATTTTTTACTTTGTATTTAATTATTATTTTGTATATTTCTATTTCTCTTCCACTTCATTTACTTCTTTTATAAAAAAAAAAATTCTAAAACACCCTTACCTACTCATAATTAAACATTTGTTTTATTTCTCTCTTTTTCTATTAAATTATGATTGGAATTTCATCTCTTAAAAAAAAAATTTATATGTCACGAGATTGAATTTGCACTTTTAAAGTCGAGTTAGCTTTACGGGTAGAGATGACAATGAATTAAGTATGAGTAAGATATTATAATTCATGTCACTTATTTGTTCTTTGAAAAAATTCTCTTACTCAGATCATATCTGCGTAGACACTAATATTTATACTCGTACTCATATTCTCTAAATATTTAAATATTTCATAATCGTTTATCCATATTTATAATTAAAAAAATTTATCAATTATAATTTATTATATTAATTTTATTAAATACGTTATGTTTTTAATAATAGTTCATTTAATAATATTTTTAAAAAATTAAAGATAAGCATATAAGTTTATAAATTAACAAACATTTATGTTGATATGCGTATAAGTTTAATAGTAATGTATTTAATAAAATTGATATATATATATATATATATATATATATATATATATATATATATATATATATATATATATATATATATATATATATATATATATATATATATATATATATATATATATATATATATATATATATATAAAATAAAAATATATAAATATTTATGAGGCGGGTGAATATTATATGGTACTCTGCGCTGATAACTGTTAATTATAATAAATAAATTTTTCTTTCCCACTTTAAAAAAAAAAAACATCTTTATACATATGTGTATGAACAAGAATAAGATTTACATGGCATATATGACCAAGACAACAAAACAAAAATAAAAAATTATATGAAATATTCAACGTAGGTAAGATATAAAAAGAAGGTGAATAGCCTCTTTTCTCCATGAGCAGTTGAAGAATTTGAATACTACCTCTCTTCCAAACTCTTTCCAAATTTCTCATTATCTCTCTTCCTACCTAATTCCTCACAATTTCTCACCAACAAAATCTTCCTCAAATATCTATATATACACCATATACAAACTACTATATGATTATAGATTAATTCAAACTCTTAATTATCATCAACAATGACCTTCATGAAAACCATGTTGAAATCTATTCTTCCTTCATCTTGTTTCCAAGGAGAGTATCCATCACCAAAACCAAAGAAAGTTGTATCAACAAAACCAAGAAACTCATCAACATCAACTTCAACTCATAGGATTTCTATAGAAGATTTGAATTCTCCAAACATGACTTTATCAGAAGATTTGTCTATGTCTCTTTCTCTAGCAGGGTCTAATCTCTATAAGTTCACGGTTCTTGAACTTAAAGCTATAACACAGCACTTTTCTTCCAGTAATTTTCTCGGCGAAGGAGGGTTCGGCCCGGTTCATAAAGGGTTTATCGACGATAGGGTTAGACCCGGTTTGAAAGCTCAACCTGTTGCTGTTAAACTCTTGGACTTGGAAAGTAAACAAGGGCACAAAGAGTGGTTGGTAAGCGCTTTTTTTTTCTACCATCATGGTTTACTAATAAGTGCTTTTTTATAAGTAATGATTTTTTAACTTGTGATTATTATTACTATTGCAGACTGAAGTTGTTGTTCTTGGACAATTAAGGCATCGACATCTTGTGAAGCTAATAGGATATTGTATTGAAGATGAACATAGACTTTTGGTATATGAATATTTACCAAGAGGAAGCTTGGAAAATCAATTATTTAGAAGTAAGATTTTTTTTATTAATTATCTACTTTAGTTTCAATATGTCTGTAAGTAGAAAATTAACATTTTTTATTTTAAAATTTTTTTAGGATTCACAGCATCATTGCCATGGTCAACAAGAATGAAAATTGCTGTTGGAGCTGCAAAAGGTTTAGCATTTCTTCATGAAGCTGAGCAGCCTGTTATTTATAGAGATTTCAAAGCTTCAAACATCTTGCTAGACTCCGTATGTGTCACATTTCTTCTAGTTCTCGATTAATCGAATGATTTTTTTGTCTAGTAATCTAGTGAATAAGTGGGATGTCACATGTTTGAACGCGCACTCTTGCAGTCGAATGTTTCTGCACAGCTATCAACTGAACTGACTTAACTATTGATAGAACAATTATAAACTCTTAATTGAAGCATCATTTCTTAATTATTATACTTATTGTTTTAATTCATTTTTTAGGACTACAATGCAAAACTCTCTGATTTTGGATTGGCAAAAGATGGGCCTGAAGGAGATGACACCCATGTTTCAACAAGAGTGATGGGTACTCAAGGCTATGCTGCACCAGAATATGTCATGACAGGTAAAAACAATCCTGAGCCAAATTTTACTTAAAATAAAGTTATTTTTGTTGTATATTAATATGATTAATAATGATAATGTATGATATTAATTATGATACATGATGTGATTAACTTAAGGCTTCTTGAGCTGTAATTCTTATGACTAAATCAAATTTATTTTAATAATTTTTCTTATAGGTCACTTGACAGCTAAGAGTGATGTGTATAGCTTTGGAGTTGTTTTATTGGAATTGCTAACAGGGAGAAAGTCAGTGGATAAAACCCGTCCTACAAGGGAACAAAACCTAGTTGATTGGGCAAGACCAATGTTAATTGATTCGAGAAAACTTAGCAAAATAATGGATCCAAAACTTGAAGGACAGTATTCTGAAATGGGTACTAAAAAAGCAGCATCATTGGCTTATCAGTGTCTTAGCCATAGGCCCAAGAGTAGGCCCACAATGAGCAATGTGGTTAAGATATTGGAACCTCTACAAGATTTTGATGATATTCCAATTGGCCCCTTTGTTTACACTGTTCCAGTTGATAATAATGAGGTGGTTAAAGAAAAAGATCAAGCAAAGGAAGATGAATCAACAACTAAGGAGAGGAAAAGAGAAAATGGTCAATATCATAGGAATGGTCATAGGCATCATCCACTTAAATCCCCTAGGTCGCCGATGCCTCAATCGCAATCACAACGGCCGCAATCACAGCAGCGGCCTCGTGTGCGGATTGTAGGGCATCAAAATGGTAGAGGAAGTGCATCTAATTCTCCTTCTCCTCGTGTGCAATTTGACATGCAACATAATGGTAGAGGAAGTGCTTTGAATTCTCCTTCTCCTTCACCACATAAAAAAAGCTATGAAACTTAGCTCAATGGTAACAAAAATCGTTTTGTATATATATACAAATTTTTTTTTTTAATGTTCAGTGATTTCATGTAGTGTAAAAGCTACTGTAAACTAAGTGTGATGAGTTATCAATTGTATCCCAAGAAAGAGTACATAAAGATAATGGACAAAAAAGATATTAGTGGGAGTGGAATTGTAGTGGATCTCACATGGAAGATATGTTTGTTAGTTTTATTTTTTATTCTCCAATTAAAGGAGGAAGTTATAATTATTTTTAAGTTGTTTAACAGACACATACACATATAGAATAATACATTTTGGTTCTTGGTGAATGAATAGAATGGTTCAACAAACGGACAATGGCTAATTAAGAATTGTTCAACAAATATATGTTTCAACACTGAGGATTACAGCTATGTGATTTGACCAAAGGTGTAATTGAGAATTTGAGAATAATGGGTATAATGCCACTAAGCCACTAGGCATATATATGTATTGACTTTAAGTTAAACTCATTTAAATAAATGACCCTAGCTTAAGTCATTTGTTATTTTTCACAGGTCAACCTCAAGTTTAAAATTTTCAGTAAAATCCACATAGTTTAATGTGTTACTGATAAACTTCAACTAATAAGAAATTTTGTAAAAGAATATATTGCCAGAAATTGATCCATCAACATACAATTTCCAGGGTTTTGCGCCCTCATAAAAAAATCAACAATCCCACACCATTTCATGGCCTAAAGGGGCACATAAGATTACATTACTGAATTGGCACGGGCAAACTAATTTATAAATTGTCAAAACAACACTAATGAATAAATCAAATTTCCAGTAAAATTGATAAATCATTATAAAGTTTATAGCTGCCTAATGTGATCCACCTCTTTATTTCACCAGGTGTGTTTGGATAAAAAAACTTGAAATAGAAAGAATAAACCAACAGCTGAATCAAGACAAGAATTGGCTGCAGAGTTTTGAGATTTGGGAAATAGCCTTTTTAAGGCACAATATACAACTCTTCCTCAAAGGTACTACACTTTTACCAAATCAGCCATATGTTTTAGCTATTCACCTTCTATTTTACGGGAAACTCCTGTCTTTGAAAGAATAAAAAATGCATATATGGTTGAAACTTCTTCACGTTACTGATGAAAACTTTTGTTACACCCTCTGACATCAGTTGAGCCAAAAAGGATGCATTGAAAACCTTATTTCACAAAAGAATTCAAACCCAAAGGCCAGACACTTAGCCAATCATATATTCAACTTGAAGCGTGAAATTTTGTTCAACTTGACTCACCTTAAGTTACACATTACTAGTAACATCCAGTGGGATTTAAACTCGTAAAGAATCAGGCTATACTCATTGGCTGACCTGCTTTCAGGTCATGTGTAGGATTTAGGATGGTGAACCGTGAAAATTGGGCCTCTCCAAATAGAACAAAAAAAACTGAGAAGTGCCTTGTCTTGAACCTGGAAGCCAAAAAGTCTAGGTTTCGGTGATTCACAGCATGGGATAGGAATGTTGAAGTTCACAATTGCAATTCAAAATACCAATGCCAGACCTGTCAAAGGAAAAAAATATGCAACCAACTTTACAAATTATGTAAATCATCATTTCTGCTGATTCAAAAAAAACAAATAAATCGTCAAACTTAAATGACCTCAACTTAGATTATTAAATTGTCCAGATTCTATTATGAACTCATAAGATGATTAACATTTAACTGGAGAAAAATTGAACTTATTTCTTTCCAGTTTGTGAAACATAATTTGAGGAAGTCAATGTTGGTAATTTGTACAAGATAAGGCTACATAAACATAATGATTCCTTTAGATCATATGCCTAAAACATATATGTTAGTAATTTGAGAGTCTCCATATTTTTTATCTAAGTAATGGATTTTGGCCAAATCATTTTAAATTCACTCAAAAAATTACTTTGCCTCGTTAAAAACCCACTATTAAGGCATACAATAATTCCTATGTCTTATTTAAAGTGAGTGAGAGAAAGAAACTGCAGAAGATTTTGGGGGAAAATAGATTGTCTCTTAATCCAACATTTGTAGTGTAGTTACTTTTTCTAGAGAGAAACAAAGAATTGGGTGGGTGCTTATGAAACAAGTACAAGGTATATCAAAGTAAATTCTAATTCACCAAACTGACAGTAAATATTTGGCAAAAATGCACATATCACCTTGCAACTATTGGCTGCAGAAAACCTCCTGATTATTAAAAACTCAGCAATCCAACTCCCTAAACTCCCAAAACCTTGCAAAGTACTGTAAATTTAACCATTCGTGCGTGTAGAACAGAAAACCAATAAGTACTCAACATGCATACCTAGTTAAGTCAAACGAGTTGAATTGCAGGGTTGAAACCATAGGGAGATTTTCTGTTATGGCCTGTAGATAAGGGAAGTTACATACATTTCGACCTAAATTTTTCACGACAACTTATGGATAAGAATACATAAAACACCTACCTGCCATCAAGTATGCTACCAAACTTTGAGCATAAGAAAAAAGAAATTCCATATCCCCTTTTCATTTGTTGCTGTCACTGTGAATCTTACCTAATAATCTACCTATCATCTTTTACAACAAAATTTTATTTACAATAAATTTTAACACATTAATGTTGCAGATTTCATGTTACACAGGCTTGGCTGTTTTTGCTGTTGTAATGTTACACAGATCATGTTGTCCATAAGAAAAAACATGTCATAAGTTATTAAAAAAATTATCTAACCAAATTAACTGGAGAAGAATATATACCTAGCTTCAGCTTAAAAAACAATCAGCAGCTTGGAGGGAATGGCCATGCAAATGTTAATGTTGGTGATCTCCAGAAACAGACGCGCTCGGCCTGATTATTGCATTCCTTTATACCACGAGCCGGAAACATGCACAAGTACTGAATACAAAATGGTGGAAGCATTTTTTAACCACTAGATTGCAATAGCACTTCAATAAACAGCAATGGGTATATCTGCATTTGAACTTTCATGACAAGATTTCTTCTTCGATGAAGTACTCAATGTGTTGTCCTGACATAGAGCTTCCTTAACTCGGGCAGCTTCGGCAGGCATTCCAGCCTTCAAAAGACACGATCTTAAATTATTTATAGTGATTTCATCAGGTGCACAACATACTGCCAACATCTTATCAAAGATAGCGATTGCTTCCACCATTCTTCCTTTCGAACAATATCCAATAATAAGAATAGTGTATGTCAACTTATCAGGCTTGCACCTCTTCTCCTCCATCTCAGCAAGAATTTTATTTGCCTCGTCTACATTCCCTGATTTACAATATCCGTCAATAACAGGATTGTAGACAAATGGTTGTGGAACAACGTCGCTCTGCTTCAGTTTTCTCAAAACGTCACGAGCCTCGTGCAATCTGTTGTTCTTGCAAAAACCATTGACAAGAACAGAGAATGTGTACAAGCTTGCAGCAATATTTCTGCTATTCATCTCATCCCACATTTCCATGGCATGTTTCACTTGGCCAATTACAAAATAACCATTAATGAGAGAAGTGAAAGTAACAACATCGGGATAACAGCCCTGAAAAAGCATCTTCTGGTACAAGGCTAATGAGGATACAATGTCACCCAACTTAACAAATCCATCAATAAGAACATTAAAAGTATATGTATTAGGCGTAGTTCCCAATCTAATCATTTCATCGAAAAGCAAAAATGCCTCCTCCATCTTACTCATCTTGCAATAACCTGATATTACCGTCGTATAACCAACTACATCAGGCACCACTTCCCCTTTCACACAAACCTCATTTAGCAAACTTCTAGCTCTATCAACCTCACTAATTCGACACAAACCGTGAATAATAGTGTTGTATGTAATCACATCAGGCAAACAACCAAAACGCCTCAAATCACTAAGAAGCTTAAAAGCCTCGTCAATTTCTCCAGCCCTACACAAACCTCGCATTAAAATATTGATCGTATAGGTCACCGGACGATATTTCAACTGAATAAGCTCCCAAAACATATCAACAGCATCCCTTACTTTACTCTGTTTAATCAAAATGTTAAACAAATTGTTGTAAACAACAGCATTAACTCCAATATCACTACACTGCACATCAGCAAGCAATTCTTTCGAAATATCAAATCTACCAATTAATGCGTAAGACGAAACCAAAAAACCTAACAACCAATGATCAGGAACCTGCCCATCAAATCTCATCCAATCGTAAACCAATTTCGCCGAAACATGATGATTCGATACACAAAGTGATCTCAATAACATACTATAAGTCCAATAATTATGACTCATTTGCAACTTCTCCCTACTGAATTCAACAACCTTAAAACCTAACGAAGGAATATTATTAAACCTATAATGAACAATATCTGAAACAAGGTTTGGAGTTAAATGCTTCCTAAAATAAAACAAATAACGGTCAAACGAACTGTAACGAACGAAGACAGTACATGCGATCTTAACGAACCAGGCTTCAGCTCTATTGATGGAACCCATGTGGTAAGGGAGAAACCGTTGATGCCGGCGACATCGGAAGGTGTCACGTGCCAAGAGACGGCATTGGTGATTGTGATTGTTGTTTGAGCACGTGCGGGATTGAAATTTGAATCACGATTCTTCTTCATCGAAGCGGAATAGTGCATGCGGTTGGAGCATCGTACGGGGATGTGTGGCGGAGATATTTGAAATCGGCGGCGGTGTGGGTGAAGATGGTGATTCTGATGGGAGTGACTGCGGGGATGAATGGGATGCCACAGTTGTTGGTTCGTACTGGTTGCTTACTCAGCGTTAGGGTTTATGAATTGTTATCACATGGGGGTGCAATACGGAATTTGTAAACAAGAAGAAAGCAAACACAAATTTCATTTATTCTTCTTTTTTTTTTTGTACAATAATTTAATTCATTTATTCAATCACAACAATTAATTAACTTTAGACTTACTATTATATGTTTCAGCATTACTGATACTAATTTCTATAGACTAACCATGTAAAAAAAAATTAAA